AAACACTAGATAAAGGCAATAAGTGATTTTCATTTCCCTCAAGTTTTATATTTTGGTTGACTAGATTTCAAAAACAAATCTGACTTTCCTTTTTGTTCTTTATAGTGCTTTAAGAAAAAACTACATGAACTAGAAGAAAACGGGAGATGAGAAGCATATAGAGTTGATAAATGTCGAAACTGAATAATTATCAGCAGTGTTTTAAAAGACGGGATGTGAGGCGATGCATTTTATACAGTACGGGGCGAAGCGTAAGCTCGAAAATACGGGGCGTAAGTCGTGTGGATCTACGGGGCGTAATCTCATGTATATATTCAATTTTATAATTTTATTACTAATAAAATAAGCTAAAGTAAACCTTTCAATGATTTTACAAATAAATATTTATAAATAACCTATAATATAAAGAAATTATATTATGATTTTTATTTGAGATAAATATTAATAATCAATAATGAAGAAAAAATATATTATAATTACTATTTGAGAAATGTCATTACACCAATAATAAAAAATATGGTGTAAAGCGAAAAAAAAGTTCAAAATAATAAATTAAAAATGTCCGGGCGTACATTTTTACGCCCAGGACTTACGTTTTTATGCTCGAGGCTTACGCCGCAATTTTTATTTTTATTTTTTTATGACAAAGGAAATCCGCAGCCACTACCCTTTGGGTGCGCACAGGGTAAAACCCTCGCTCCTATGCAATAGCTCGCAAACCACATAGGAGAGGTAATCCGCACTAGGCAAGCCCGGTGCGACGAGCTCGACCCAAAAGGCAAACCTCTTACCTTCGCTGGCAAGGGGTTTCGAACTTGAGACCTCCAGCATGGAAGTCCCAAGCCCAAACCACTGGGCCACCCCAAAAGGTCTTACGCCTCAAATTTTAGAACTTACGCCTTATGGATCTACGCCTTTAATTTACACCCCGCCCCGAGACTCGCCCCAAAAACGTTTTTGAAAATCAGATTCAACTCACCTTCAATCTTTAGGCGATGATATATGAAGGTCACTGTCTCTATTCCGTAGCAGTAACAGAGATTCAAAAGCTATGAAAAAAGAGATGAATATTATAATCTTTGTGGGTTTTGAATTAAGGTTGATTTTCACTTCCTCACCAACAACGAACAAGGTTGGTGTGACACACTCACCAACAACATACATTGATTTTTCACTCACTCACAAACAATTACTTCAATTTACTTATCATATATAATTGCTCTTTCTTAATAGTTTTCTGTTGAGGTCTATCATGCAAAGGTACTCAAATTGAATCAGTGATTGATTTCTAGGTTTCGTCGTAAACAAAATTTGTTATTTCAAATTACGTAAATCAATAGTTCATTCTCCGTGTGCTCATGTGGTGATATGGATCCAATTCCTTGTATACAAATTCTTTCCAATATATAGAACATAGTAAATATATTTTCTTTAAATGATGTCAATGATTTAAACTCCTTTGAATCTTCTTTTCTTAATTTTGAGAAATAGTAAACTTTTTTCATAATAAATATTCACTCAATATCACCTTTCTATAAATAACAAGCCTTCATAATATTTTTTCATTACGTACACTCTTCACAAGATTTGTAGATGTAGTAGATATCATTGCTTCCTTCCAACTCACAGTTGCACTAGGTATAGTTAAAGTTGAACTGTGAACTTGAGCATATCTTTTCATCAGTAGGATATTTTCCTTTCAGAATAACATTGTTCTTTCCATTAATTTCTCTGAACTTCTCTTCAAGCTTAGCTTGTATTAATAGGAGCTCTTATTTTAAGCAATTCAAGAAGGTTTTAAGATCCTCTTCATTTTCACCTTGGATCTTGTTTTATATTAAAGGAAAAAGGGTCTAATATACCCCTCAACTTTGTCATTTAGAGCTAATATACCCCTTGATATGAGTCACTTTCATAACGAGGGGCATATCAGCTCCAAATGACAAAATTGAGGGGTATATCAGGCTTTTTTCCCTATATTAAATGTAGCCACATATGTCTTCTTGAATTTGAACTTTTAATCACTTTAAATATAAACTCTTTTGTGATTTTGAGAATTCTAATATATCTTGATACTTTATAGATTTTGAATCTTCCTTAAGTAGCAAATCGATCTTGATCATTTTCTTTTGTAGAATATTTTTCCTTCCATAAAATAATAATACATATTCTTCCCATGATTTTTGTACATTGATTTGAGCAAGTCTGTTTTTTTTTCTTTCATATCTTTTTTCTTAATTTCATCTTTTTCTCATATTTATATAGATCTTCGGCCCCTGTAATTGCTTCAATCTCCGGCCCCCGTTTCATTTCATTTAATCATGCTAAGTATTTTATCGTACTATCCCTATTAATTAATGTTAGTATTGAGTTCTGAAGAATGATATGAAAAATATTCTCTCCGTCTCATATTAGTTGACCATTTTTTATTTTACACGGTGCTTAAGAAAAATCTTTTTTTCTGGCCAAAAGAATTTTTCCTTTTACTAATTTACTCCTTAAAAACATCTTGGGAATTTTACAAACAAATGTGAACACTTTCAATAAAAATTAATTGCAAAGGTATATATATAGAAAAAAAAAATTAATTGCTTCTTGATTTGTTAAGGTCAACAACTAATTTTAGTATAATGATCAACTTATATGGGACGGAGACCGTAATATTTAATGTTCATGTTTTTTTATATGTCAAAAATGACAAATAAAAACATAAATTTATTTTAAGAATAAATGACAAGTAAAAGTGAACGGAAGAAGTATTAGGCCCATTACTAAATATAGTTATCTGATTTATCTTCTTTCTTTATTAGGAGAAATGGTATTTTACGAGAAATTTTCATTTTATCACCAAAGAAATCTTTGTTTTTACATGATCTGAAAAAATATATTTTCTTTTATTTAAATTATAAAAGGACAAGGAATTTCATTTCATCCTTTTTTTAATCTGCTAACTTTTAAAACAGTTCTAGGGAAATCGATAGTTAATTAGATGGTTCATATTTGGTTTAAGCATAGTTGCTGACTTGCTTCTCACAAAAAGAGGGAGTACATAATTATCAATTGATAGATACCTGCAAATTATTAGTCAAACGCGGATGACTAAATTGGAATTTTAGAATCTGTTTAGATGGACTTATAACATATGACTTTTAAATTTTAACTTATAAATTGTGTTTACTTTTGCTATTTTAGCTTAATGTAAGCATTTAAATACTTTTTATTTCATTCAAACATTATAAAACTGTTTTGAAGTACCTAAAATATCCACGGAGAACCCAACAAATCAACTGAGTTTTTTTTTATCCATGTTCGGTAATTAAAAATTTACTTTTAATGATAAATTAGTATAATTTGAGATAAATACAAGATGCTCTATTACCTACAGTGGGAGTGGACTCGTAAAGTTTGTCTTGATTAGAATTAGCTAGGGGTGTCAAAAATGAGTTCAACTATAGGTAATTCACCCTAAATTTTAAGGGTTGGGCTCAAGATATATTTGAATTGGGTTCGATCCCAAATCATTCAAGCTTTAACTCATTCTAAGAGAATCCTCAATTGAGCCCAATTTAATCTTCAATTTCAATCTGTTTTAAGACTCTTTATTTTGCATTGATGTAAGGACAAATTACTTAACTACACTCTTTTACTTACCTTAATATCTATTTATCCCTACTTATAACAAAAATTTCAAAAATCCCTTATTTTACCTTTGTATCCCACATGTATCCCGTGCACAACGCTATGTATCCCGCTATGTGGAATGAATCAAACGCTATGTATCCCGTGCACAACGCTATGTATCCCGCATATATCCCGTGCACAACGCTATGAATCCCGCTATGTGGAATGTATCAAACCTAATGTATTCGGCTATGTAGAATGTATCAAACCTAATGTATCCCGTGCACAACGCTATGTATCCCGCAAACATCATTTTTAAGAGATTTTTGGTAAATAGAAAACTAGAAGGGATAGGATGTTATTTAGTACTTATAATATGTGGTTCCTATAATTTATACTTGATGTAATGTATGTTTTATATTGAATGTATGAATTACTATCTATTTTATATCTTTTATGATTTATCTATCCATTTGTAACTTCTTCTTTTTTTTAAAAAAATTCTTGAGTGGAAATTCAAATTGTGGTTATAAAACTTAAATAACAATATATTAAATTATTGAGATTAAGCGGGTCAAATTGGGTGGGTCAAGATCCAACCCGTTTTTAAGCCCATTGAGCCAAAGTAAACTTGGGTGGGTCAAGACCCAACCCAATTTATATTTCAATCCATTTTAACATCTCCAATTTTAACACAACCCGCCCATTTGACACCCCTAGAATTAGCCAATACCTAGGTCAGAACCCCTATCAACTCATCACATTTAAAAAAACAAAGAGAAAGTATTGAAAACACTTTTGAATTTGGTGCAAATTATTAGTTTTGTGAATTATTGACAGTCTTAGTAATACCCTCTACTTGACTATCTAAATTTGAATACACCTCGATCTGCCACATGACATAACAAGTAGTCTCACTCCTAAATTTAACGAGAATTCACATGTGTATTCACTCATTACGAAATCAGAGTGTATTTAAATTTAGTTGATAAAATAAAAAAATAAAAGATATATTTAAGATTATCAATAATTTAAAAATAATACTCCTAACAACTGACACTAAATTTAAAGATATTTACAATATTTCTCCCTAAACTAAAGTAAAAGCAGAGCAGGTAGGAAACGTTTAAGAACCCATCTTCAAAAAGATCACTCCACTAAAGTATGAGGAATAAAAATTGGCATTACAATATTAATCTATCATGCATAGTGCACTTGATATATGCTTCCATTCTATTTGCCTGCACATTTCCCTATATACACAGTCGAATATTATACTGATAGTTGGGCTCAGCTCTTATTCTGCAACAGCGTCAGTTTCGCTCAACCAACGAGCTATCGACAAAACGACAAAAAAAGGAACGAAAGAGAGATTTCAGTTTCTCCATTTTGTTGCATTAATGGAGAACGGGAACAGTATCTCCGGTGATAAGCCGACGGTGATGGTGACCAACGACGACGGAATTGATGCACCTGGTTTGAGAGCTCTTGTTGCTGCCCTCGTCTCAACCAATCTGTTCCATGTCCTCGTTTTTGCTCCTGACTCGTACTGCTCTTCTCTTTTATTATTCACCTGTATATTTAATGGGTTTAATTTGTCTCTCTGTTTATCTGCAAATGGATTTTGTAATGAAAAATTGAGTTTAATTTGGCCCTGACTCAATCCGAGAAGGTAATTAACTGAGAGGATTCTCCAATACATAGCTGATATGCTATAATTTAGCATCTAACACCTATTATACTTTTTCATATGTTAAAAAACTTCTCTCTTGATATGTCTTACGCTTCGATTTCTGTCTTCCAGTGAAAGATCGGCTGCTAGTCATTGTGTTTCATGGCAACGCGTGGTTACTGTTAAGAAAGTTGATGTCCCTGGCGCCACAGCTTTTGCAGTTTCTGGTTAGTTTTGGTGTTACATAATTTGCTACCTGAGAACCTTCTTTGATTTACATTGTTATTTCATCTTTGATTTTTCTAGTGTTATATTAGTTGTTTTAATTTATTCGAATCTATATACATCTCTGAGTCCTGTTTTTATTGGCTTTTTTCAATTGCATAACTGTCTATCTTATATGAAATTGGTGGTTTGACTTGGACTGATTATCTTACGCTATCCTACTGGAAAATGAAAAAATGAGAACAGAAGTTCTAATATTGAATTTCAATCTAGTGAATGAAACACAAGCAAATGATTTCTTCTAATTCGAACAACAGTCAATTTCATTCATAGTTTTACAGTTCCCTTAGCGACAACTTGTTATCAGACTTTATTTATAATGATAATTGTGCCCTTTTCTCTTTTTAACTCACACGAACATTCTGGTTTCATTTGGCAGGAACTCCAGCAGACTCAACTTCCCTGGGGATCTCCAAAAAGATCTTTCCTTCAGTACCTGAATCTGGTAGCTTTTGAGACTAATGCTCAGCTTATATATTGATTTAGTATGTAGCTTCGCTTATCACACATTTGTGTATGAACTATATATGATCTTCATTAAGTTCATATAATTTTATTCTATTTCATCTTTATGAAAATAAATACATTTTGGACATACACTCACACAGGCACTAAACTAAAATTTTCTTTTGGGCTGTTTCGTTCTTTTTACTTGTACTTGCATCCAGTATATACGTGCTATTATACTGATAGAGCTTGTCAGAACACAGTATGTGAACTTGCATCAACTTATGCTTGCAGGTTGTCAGTGGCATTAATTTAGGCTGCAATTGTGGTTATGACATGTAAGTAAAATTCTCTATCGAACCTTTAGATCCTCTGTTAAATGCTTAATTTTTTATACCCTCCTTCAATTTCCTTCTTTTTTTTTGTTTTGTGCAATTTGTATTAGATATAATTATTCATTTGACCAATTTTCACATTTTTAACCTTGCAACACTTATATATTCATGAAACATTATAGAAAACACTGTCTTATGTGCTTTCAAATGCTACACTAGAGTACTTATTTCTTCTTTCAGGTAGGCCTTGGGCCAGAGTATGAGTTTATCCTTTCTTGGTTCTTATTTCTCAAACTTAAGTGGCCAGAGACTGCTATTTGTATTGTTCGTCCCAGTGTAAATTTGATCCAACTCTGGAAATGCAGTGTTTATTCAGGGACAGTGGGTGGTGCACGAGAGGCTTTCTTCCATGGAATTCCTTCCGTCGCTGTATCATATGACTGCTATAATATGTAAAGTTAATCATCCTACAAATTAATTTAAAATAGTTTTGTTGTTCCTTTTTCATTGGTTTATCCGCCTGTCAACTTCAGGGTTGGTCAAAAACTCAATGTTGATGATTTTACATTGTGTGCTGAAGCTTCCATACCCATCATCACTGCTATGTTGTCTGAGATCAAGAATAAGACATATCCTCAGAATTGCTTTCTGAATATAAATGTACCACGAGAAGTTGCCAACAACAAGGTAAGCTGTGGGATTTTTGTGATCATTGCATTTTAGTTATAAAGGGACAACATAAAACCTGATCTCACAATTTAGATGTGGCATTTTATCCTGATATCATGATTGTCTATTGATTCATTCAGTAGTGGGTGTTTTGAACTTTCATATATTTCTTTGCTTCCTCTTTTAACATATTTTCCTGGGACTTCATTGCACAACATTGATTGGAGGATCATATTTGTTTATAGACTTCTCTATTTGCTTAAATTGATGTACCACTTTTCTTCTTTTCTTTTTGCCTTTCTGCCTTTCCTTTCACCAACATCTCGTTTTTAGAAAGATGAGCTAACGGATACCTACAATACCATGATTCGGAGCATTTAACCAGACACATTTTATTTAAGATAATTTTGATTGTCATGAATATTATGTTATTTGCTTCAGTAAACCTTTTATAAGCAGCAAATTCAAATTTTGCTCCGATAACTCTTCAATGAGCTTTAGGACTTGATTGGATCTTGGTCTTGTCATTCTAAGAGTAGCTTCAATCAATGCAATTACAAGCCTAACTGGACTACGATGGCATTTTAATTTCTTCTGTATAGCTACTTGCTCGCCCAAGTCGGATTTGACATAAATTCTAGTATATGTTAATCCAAGTTGAGTTTGAAGTAAACTCTAGTAGTTGATGAACGCTGAATTTGTATTCAAGAATGATATTGACTGATTGAACAACTTCAGGTAGGAGAAATATGAAGCTTAAATTCAGCAGATAAGGACAGAAAAAACTGACAAAAACTTTTAAGTTGAATACTCTGGCTCTTTGTGACTTTTTTTGCCATTATTCCTGATACTTTCAAAGTTACATACATTCCTGTCGTTGACGTAGAAGGCTGCATGTTTAGAATATGTTTCCCTGTTTGATTTAGAGATCCTCACTTTGTTGGATATAATCTTAGCATTATATGCCTAATAGATATTCTGTACACCAACAAGAGAAACTTCATTGTTGTACTCCTAGGGCTATCGGCTGACTAAGCAGGGGAAATGTTTTTACAAAATGGGATGGACACAAGTTACTTCTGAAGCACAAGAAGGTACAACGTCACCAACAAAAGTAATGGAGATAAAACCACCAGAAAATACAGAAGTATGTACAGAAGAGAGCGCATTAAGCACCAAAGAAGAACATCTAGTGTTTAAGTTAGACGTGAGATCTCTTTCTGCTAATTTGTGTTGCTTATTCTAAATACTGCCCCCTCCTTCTACCTCCTTTTTCTATTTATATACTGAATAAATGCAATTGTATGTTAATGTTTCTAGACTGCAGAACCACCAGCAGTGGATAATGACGATACTGATTACTCATCCCTTCAAGCAGGATATGTATGTAAAACTCTGTAATTATGTGATGAAATTGAAATTCTAACAGACGTGCACATTGACATTCCACTTTCTTTTGATGACAGATTACTGTTACTCCCCTTTCCGCCTTATCTCCTGCAGAGATAGATAGTGTTGCATTCTTCAAAAAATGGCTTCCTGGTGTCTGTGAGCGCTTCTCTTCCACTCTTTGATTAGGAGTGAGTTATCCATTTGACTACTGACTGTACTTTCTGTTCGAAGATTACTGCTTTAAATGGATCGACTATATTGTCCAAAAATTTGAGCACAAATTTATTATATTGATCTCAACACAACATCCTACTCATATAGACTTTTGGATGGATGCATTGAGCATAATCTTGATCTTGGCTGAAAAAGCATACAAAACTCGGATATTTTTCCCCATCTTTTCTTAAGCACTTGGTAGTTGATATATCCTGATTCCTGCAACTGCAATACTACTGTTCTTTCAGTGGCATTGGTAAAATATCCAATTAAACTTGCTTTCCTTTCCTCATCTTCAGGTTTTAACGTATGAAAATTGCATTTAGTATCATTGTTAACCTTCTTCTGATGCTAAAAATACTAGTTGGGTCTGTTGTGTGTGATACACTACTGAATGACTTAGCTGGGATATGCTTCAATTCTTTTTAAGTATATTCTCGTTGTTCTTTCAGCATAAACAAGCTCTGCAGTGGCATCACAGATTTAGCATTAGTCATGGCAATTGGGATTTGATGTTCATTTCCATCATCCTTCCGGTGATCTAAACGCTGACGATTCTCACGAAGTAGAGCTAATTTGTTGTTTTTGCAAATAATGGGCAACATGTATGAACTCTCTATTTCACAACGCACAATTGTATTCCTCTTTGCTTTTTTTGGGGTAGTAAGGAACTGTGAAACATTATACGATTTTATCTCGTGATTTGAAATTATGAGATGAAATAAGTATTTGAACATGCGATTTCATCTCACGATTTCACAATTTTCAAATACAAAAATTGACCTACAAGTTTATATTTTGTAAAAATAAAATAAACAAACACATTTTATATCTACATAATTTTTTTGCGAGAAATACCAAAAAAGTGATGAAATATTCACGAAATATGAATAAAATGAGATATCTAATAATGATATTGACCAACAAATGACTTAATAAAGATAGTACACTACAACTAGTGTTTAATTTTACTTATTTATTGAACTAAAGTTTAATCAATAAATGATGTATATTTTTTTAGAACAACTTTATAATAGTGTATTAGTGTATAATACTTTTGTTATTTGCTTTATTTGGTGAAATTACATAAAGAAGTGATGAAATTTTAATAATTTTCACAACTTAAAAAAATTCAATGTCTATTAATAATAACTACGACTTAAACTCCAATTTTTATATCCAAACATAACTTCAATTTCCAATGTCAGCACACTTGACTAAAGGATTCTTAGATTAACAATGTCAAGAGAGATGATTATAATTGGGGTATTTGACACACTCTTTATAAAGTTAATTAATCATACTAGTTAAGTAGTCATTTGACAATATTATCCTTGATTTCTTTAAATTTTTTCTTAAAAATAAATATAGTCCGCGTTGGATTTGAAAAACCCATTAGAGAATGGTGACTTTGGTAAAAATTAATTAATAACCTTTTTGGATTTCAAAAAATTCATTTATTTTGAATAATTTGCTATTTGCATCCCTAATATATGTACTGTTTTGTAACTTACATTTTATTTTATTATTTTTAATGATTTACATCCTAATCTCCTTAGTTTTTTTGCAAAATCATAAAATATCTCCTTTTTCAATTATTTACAAAGAATAAATTTTAAAAATTACATATAAAGAAAAATAAAAAAATGGTTTAAATTAAAAATAAAAGCATACTAAATCCAAGTCATTTGCCGCTTTTTTTCCATTAAAATGAAGAAACAATCATTTATTTCGAGTATATTTTATTATGGGTGAATAAAATATGAACCACAAACTGCAAATTGTCGAATTGGAAAAAAAATTGATTGAGGATTTAGTTTGACTTTCATATTGGAAAAAGCCTGACAATACTTTGAGATGATTTGATTTTAACTTAAAAAAGTCAATCAGAGATTAAATCAATCCAACACTATAATATATACATAACTTTTAAAGTTTATTTTATACATAATTTTTTTATTATAATATAATTTATATATTTATCTTTAATTTCTCATATATATTTTTGTTTTATATCTCACTGTACATGGATTAAGAAAGGAAAGACCACAACAATCAATTATGTTGTTACGAAAATGATTTAATTATACAATTACTATATTTTTAAATATTAATAAATATAATAACTTGTTATTTTTTCTATTTTATCCTTTTAAATAGTTGAAAATTGAGATTTTTTATATTTTGCAAAGAGCTAAGGAAATTTGGGTGCAAATTCTTAAAAATGATAGGATAAAGTTTAAAGTCACAAAAAACACATACATTAAGGGTGCAAATCACAAATTACTCATCATATATATCATATATATAAAAGAGAATTTTAGGTCTGCCTACGTGGCGTCACCACAAACCAAAATTCCCTTTTAATTTATTTATTTCCAAAATTAACATTCCCCTTTCATGAAAAGATTGTGACATTTATGAAAAGTTGGGACTTTAATGAAGAGTTGCATCTTTTATGAAAAAATGTGACTTTTATGAAAAGTTGTGACCTTTCCGAAGGGTTGCAACTTTTCCAAATAGTTGTAACATTTCCGATAAGGCACATAAACATTTGTTTACACTACCCTTTGTTGTCTATAAATAAAGGGATTTCCTCTAATTTTAAAACAATGAAAATTCTAAACCTCTTCTTCTTCTTCACAATTAAATATTTGTGTACTTTGCTCTTGTTGAGTGACTGACTGACACCATTATGTTACAGATCCTGGTATGTATTTTTATAGTCATTAATTTATGCTTATGTTATTAAGGATAAATGATAAGATGTAATAATTTATTTTCCTTTATATTATTAATGTTTGTTATTATGTAATCTTGTATGTAAGATAATATAGTGTGTTTAGTTTTAATGGCTGATAGATTTTAAGTATTATTTTATAAATTCTGTGATATTAAATTCCCACGCGAAGTGCGGATAATTTTACTAGTTTATTTAATATAAAGAAAAAAATGCTAGAAATTCACTTATTTAGATTATCAGATCGAGTAAATGAGAAAAGAATACAGAAATCACAGGTGTATGCGCTTTTGTCATTTCCATAGAATTTATTTCCTTGGAATAGACTATTATTTAACTGATAAAAATATCAAAAAATTTTAATCACGTTTATTTCATTTTGCACTTAATCACACTTATTTCAGTTTGCATTCTAATCACACTTATTTCATTTGCACTTTTAAACTTTTTATCCTACAGAATTATTCTTTTCTATTTTTAATAGTCCACATTCCACATTTTTTTATTCTGGTGAAAAGTTAAATATCTTCAATTATTATTTTTTAAGAAAAGAAAAGGCTTGTGCACTCTCTGCTGAAATAGTTCAAGTGAGATCCCTTTATAACGTATGGCCAAATAAGCACCAGAAGTTCTTTATTCAAGATATCATACAAAAAGTTACTACTTTTCATTAGGATAAAAAATCGGATATACCCAAATCACAATTTTTAAAGCAAAAGTTACATCGATCAAAAAATTAAGATTCTTAGTTATTTATAAAATGATTTTTAGATTTTTTTAGGAATAAAAATGAAGATCTTTTAAAAATATATAAACTTAAAAAAATAATATTATAAATGACCTACAAAATGAATTTTCCATAATGCCCCTAAAAATAAGCAAAAAGTTAGATTATCAAAGATCCGTCACTCCTTAAAAATAAGCAAAAACTTACGTCATCAAAAACTCACCACACCATTTAAAAATAAGCAAAAAATTAGGTCATCAAAGTTAGGTACGCAACTAATATGAGTTGTAGTATAGTGATGAGACTGCTCCACCATCGGAGATCGAAACTCCAGACAGATGAAAAAAGAAAAAGAAGTTAGGTAAACAAAATTAAGTTGGGCATGGCCTAAAAAAAATCATATATTGTTAAGAGCTAATTGCATTATTTGCTTACACTTTCTGATCAAATTACTAAAGTCCCTCAAAATTTATGAATTTCGAATACATTAGTAGACATCCGGATACATATATAGTCGAGGAATATATCCGAGAAGAAATAGCGATCTGAATATATAGAAGAGAGATGTATCTGAGAGGAGAGAGATATATCTGACACATAAAGATGTGATGTATCCGACAAAGGAAAAAAGAAAAAGGTAGAGCGGCCGCCCAATGAATCATATGACAAAGATATTTTTTTAAAAAAGTGAGAAGACTCCAACAAGGGATTTCCACCAATCTGTGTAATTTTTAACCTTTTCCATAGTGCCAAGTGGTGGCTTGTTATTACCTTCAAAACTTTTGTTTCAACTCCAATTCAAAGCACAAAACTGATAACTCCATGAATGGAGATTAGACCTTGGAGAATTTACAGAGCATTTGAGAGAAGAAGGAAGAAGATTGTATTAATGTCTTGATGCAGTGAATCTGTACATACATGCTTATATATACTACTCTTACTATGAATGAATACAAAATATCTGTAACAAACTCTGTAACTAACTATTGCCATGTCATCAGCTGGTAACTAACTCTTGGAATCTTCTAACTAACATAAGCTTTGTTATTTCTGCATTTGCTAACACTCCCCCTCAAGCTTATGGTTGAAATATATTTTTCATTCCAAGATTGCTTAGTAGAAGATGATGTTGTCCTTGTCCAAGACTCTTTGTGAGTAGATCAGCAAGTTGATGCTTGGTGTTAATATATTCTGTCTCCAGTACTCCTTGACAAATTCTTTCTCTTACAAAGTGACAGTCTATGTCTATGTGTTTTGTACGCTCATGGAAGATAGGATTAGTTGTTATTTGTATTGCTGCTTTGCTATCACATACCATTTTTACTGGTACTGTTATATTGACTCCCAACTCTTTGTATAAGCCTATCAACCAGGTTATTTCAGCTGCACATGTGGCCATGCTCCTGAATTCTACCTCAGCTGAGCTTCTTGACACAGTCCCTTGCTTCTTAGACTTCCATGATATTAATCCTCCTCCAAACTTCACTAAATACCCTGTAACTGATTTTCTTGTTTCAAGACATGCCCCCCAGTCAGAGTCGCAGTAAGTTGTTAGTTGTGTAGTTTGTTCTGCTGGCATTAGTAATCCTAGACCAGGTGTTTCTTTGATGTATTTTACTGCTCTTAATGTTGCCTCCATATGTGACTCCTTAGGACAATGCATGAACTGGCTAAGAACTTGTGCAGTAAAAGCAAGATCCGGCCTAGTCATAGTCAGATAGAGAAGCTTTCCTACCAACTTTTGATACATTTCAGGATTAGCAAGTGGTTTATCATGGTCAGGACTTGAACCATTCACATGCTCATCATATTGAATTGATGTGAGTCTTTTGTTCAGCTCCAAAGGTGTATGAACTGGCTTTGCTCCTCCTAGTCCAGTTGCAGACAGCAGCTCCAAAGCATATTTCCTCTGTGTCATTAGGATGCCCTTATCTGATCTAGAAAACTCAATGCCTAAGAAGAATTTTAATTCCCCTAGGTCCTTCATTTTGAATTTCTTTTGAATTTCCTGTCTTGTATTACATAGGAGTTGGTGGTTGCTTCCAGTGACTAGAATATCATCGACATACACCAATATCACTACAATATCATCCCCCACTTTGCTTTGTGAATAGAGAGTAGTCATAATGACTTTGTTTGAACCCCATCTAGACTAGTGCCTCAGTTAACTTCATGTTCCATTGTCGAGGTGCTTGTTTCAAGCCATACAATGACTTGTGGAGTTTACAGACCTTGTGACTCTCCCCCTGTTTAGCAAAACCACAGGGAATATCCATGTAGACCTCTTCATGCAAATCACCATTCAAGAAAGCATTGTGGACATCCATCTGATATATAAACCATCCTTTGGAAGCAGCCAAAGCAACCACAGACCGGACAGTCACCATCTTTGCCACAGAACTAAAAGTCTCACCATAATCAAGCCCTTCTTGTTGACTAAAACCACGAGCCACAAGTCTGGCCTTGTACCTTTCAACCTCCCCAGAAGCTAAGTACTTAATCTTATATATCCATTTGCAGCTAATATGCCTCTTGCTAGGTGGTAGATCCACTATGCTCCAAGTCTGATTGCTTTCCAGAGCATCAATCTCTGCTTGCATAGCCTGTCTCCATTTAGGATCAGTAGCAGCATCCTTAAATGAACTAGGTTCAGAAACATAATAGGCCTCTTGCCAGGTGGTAGATCCACTATGCTACAAGTCTGATTGCTTTTCGGAGCATCAATCTCTGCTTGCATAGCCTGTCTCCATTTAGGATCAGTAGCAGCATCCTTAAATGAACTAGGTTCAGAAACAGCTGGGTAAGCATTCAAGGCCATTTTATATGTCGAAGACAAGTGATTGTAGGACAGGTGATCTGCTAGGGAATAAGAACATGCAGTAGACTTAGGCTTAGAAACAAAGTCCTGCAGCCATAGAGGAGGCTTGGTGGACCTTGAGGACCTTCTAAGAAGCACCTCAGGAGCTGGAGAAAACACCTCAGGAGCTGGAGGGTGCACACCAGTAGACTCAGGTGAGACTGGTCTAGCACAATCAACAGAGGAAGAAGGTGGAGATGGAACCACTGGAGGTGGGACAGGAGAGATATAGTCCAGAATTGGAAACATAGCATTAGGTGAGGCTTGGAAATGTCTGTAAGGAAACAAATCTTCTTGAAACACCACATGCCTATTTACAGAGAACATTTGTGCATGAATATCATAAAGAATATAGCCCTTTTGTGTGGAAGAGTATCCCATAAACACAGTAGGAACATCTCGTGCAGAAAACTTATCAGGTTTCTGAGGACTTGCAGCATAGCACAAACACCCAAACACCTTGAGATGAGCCAAGTTTGGAGGATGCCTGTACAATTTTTCAAAGGAGGATTTGTAGCCTAGTAATTTTGTAGGGATTCTGTTTAAAATATAAACAGCAGTGAGAACACATTCCCCCCAGAATCTCAAAGGTATAGAAGCTTGAAACCGTAAAGCTCTGGCCATATCAAGAATGGTTCTGTGCTTTCTTTCAGCAACCCTATTTTGCTGTGGGGTATACACACAAGTAGTCTGATGTAGAATGCCCATGTTACTCAATAGAGTTTGAAACGCAGTGCTGAGAAACTCACAACCATTATCAGACCTGAATGTTTTAACACTTGTGGAAAATAAGTTTTGAACTCTTGTAAGAAAATTCTATATAACAACTAGTGAATCAGCCTTTGAAGTAATCAAAAAAACCCATGTATATCTGCTGAAGTCATCTACAATTGTAACAAAATACTTCTTTCCATTGTGAGTAGGAACTTTATAAGGTCCCCACAGATCACAATGAATCAATTCAAATACAGCAGTAGTGTTATGAACACTTAAAGGGAATGAAAGTTTAGATTGTTTAGCTACAGGGCACACAGTGCAATGAGAACAGTTTGTGAAGTTTAAGGATTTGAGAGACTTATGCCTCCTTATTACATCAATCGGAGCATGTCCTAACCTTTTATGCCAAACATCACTAGAAACAGACTTATGAGATACAAGAGATACACTAGTAGTGTGAACTAACTGTTGTGAACTAGACTTGTGACTTGATTCTTCATGAAGGATGTAGAGGCCATGCTCTTCTTTACCAATCCCCTTCACCTGACCATTGGAGAGGTCCTGGAAAATGCAAAAATCAGGAAAGAATGCTACCATACAATGTAATTCTTTGGTGAGTTTTGAAACTGACAACAAGTTGCATTTGAACTCAGGGATAAAGAGAACATTAGATATGGAGTTATTTGTGAATACATAAGACCTTCCAACATGAGATACTGATGTATTTTTACCATTTGGTAGGTGTACTTTATTATCTGTATGAGCATGTGTCTTCGTTGCTTTGTCAACAGGGTCCACGTTAGATGTAATATGATGAGAGGCTCATGTATCAATAATCCATTTACTGCTACAACTACTACTACAAGATAAAGTTGTAAGAGAGCTACCTGCATTTGCAACAGTTGCAATGTTTGCAGAGGACTCTCCTACCTTGTCTCCTCCAGACTTTGTGAGTAGTTGTAATATTTACTGGTATTGATTTGAAGTGAAGAATGCACCACTATTTGATCCTGCACCAACTCCTGATTGACATGAGTTATTTCCACTCTCTTCTGAAGCAGTAGCTTGATTAGCATACACATTTGGCTTCCTTTTAGATTTGAAATCTGCAGGATATCCAACAATCTTATAGCACTGTTCCCTAGAATGACCTTTGCACCTACAATGCTCACACACAAGCAATGACTTCCTGACTTTGTAGCTTCCTCCAGAACTACTGGCACCACTGCTATATCCACCACCAGATCCTCCTGAATATGAACCACCTGCTCCACTTGGAAAGGATTTTTTAGATGTAATTGTTCCACCACTGTAGGTGTTGCTTCTATGAGTATACATTGTTGTTCCTTCTATCACCCCTGAGCTATTAGAAGCAGAGCTGGCTAGATTTCTCTGACTCTCTTGGTCAATAATAAGGGCATAAGCCTTGTTAAGTGTTGGCATTGGACTCATCATCAGAATCTGACTTCTAGGAGTTGAGTAGGACTTATTTAGTCCCATAAGGAACTGTAAGAGTCTTTGATAGTCACAGTGTTCACCAAATTTCTTCGACTCTGGACAGGGACAACTAGGACAAGGCATAAGAGCATCGCACTCGTCCCACAGATCTCTTAGCCTAGAATGATAGTCAGCAACAGACATAGTTCCCTGCACAAGTGTGTGAATCTCTCTATGCAATTGAAAAATCCTAGATCCATTTACTGTATCAAGCCTTTCTCTCAGATCTAGCCACATTTTTCGTGCATCTGAAGCATACACTACAGAGCTTAGGAGTCCTGGTCGTACAACATTCATAATCCAGCTTAATACTACAGCATTGCACTTTTCCCACTGATCAAACAGAATTGGTTCAAACATGGACTTAGGAAATCACCCATCTACAAAGCCTAGCTTGCTTTTCCCTACCAATCCAATCCTAAAAGACCTACTCCACAAAGCATAGTTTTCTGAACCAGTTAACTGCAGAGAGATCAGAGAACTACCTGGAGTATCAGTGTGTTGAAGAAATAACGGATGATTGTGATCAATTACTGGGAATACAACTTGAGTTGAAGCTCCATTTCCATTTCCAGTGCTTGTCTCCTCAGAAGCACTTCCATTCGCCATTGTTGTTGAGCTTTACTTTTGATGTTTTCTTTCAATTCACCTTTGAACAATGGTGAATCTGAGCACCTTTTGCTTAGCTACTTGTTGTTTAATCCTCTACGATCGTAGGCTCTGATACCATGATAACTCCATGAATGGAGATTAGACCTTGGAGAATTTACAGAGCATTTGAGAGAAGAAGAAGGAAGAAGATTGTATTAATGTCTTGATGCAGTGAATCTGTACATACATGCTTATATATACTACTCTTACTATGAATGAATACAAAATATCTGTAACAAACTCTGTAACTAACTATTGCCATGTCATCAGCTGGTAACTAACTCTTGAAATCTTCTAACTAACATAAGCTTTGGTATTTCTGCATTTGCTAACAAAAACAATTCAATAGAGAATGGCAGCGAGTCTAAGCCGTCAGTGATGGTAACAAATGACGACGGAATTGATGCTCCCGGGTTGAGATCTCTCGTTCGCGTTCTTGTCTCCTCTAATCTCTTCAATGTCCTCGTTTGTGCTCCCGATTCGTACGGTTTCTATCTCTCTCAATCTACACTAATTTAGCTTCTATTTTACGTACCTCTTACGATTGCTGTACGGGTCTATTTTGAAATTGCTAATTTTTTTGTTGTTTTTCTTTTCTTCCTTGTGTCCCTGATAATTTGATTCCATGGCAAAAACTTGTACGATGACAATAGGATTTTTGGTCATTTATTGTTTGTTCACAAGTTGAATTTTTGTTATAGCAAAATAAAGACCTTTACAATTCTTACCTGCAATTTTTCTTGCACTCACTCTCGTTCTCGCTTGCTCTTATGTTTGTTGCTCGCTCCTTCTTGGCTCCTACTAAAATGAACAGCTCTACTTATAGGTCTAGTGGAGGATGTTTATTACTATGCTCTAAAATGTTCCTTTTAGAATATTTTCCTAGACTTTTTTCTCTAGAACACTTATCCTACAGATCTTCCTTAATTTCTTTTACCCCGATTCCTACGTCTAGTAATTTAGCTTGTATTTTTGTGAATTTGTACGTAAGACCAGCTGCTTCTTACTCTTGTTGTATTGAAATTGGTGGTCCACTTGTGGAAATTCATTAATAATTGCAATCATTATGATCAGCAACAAATATGTTGAAACCGTTAATTTTATTGGATATTCTCTACCATAACTCTTGAAATGAAGTCATAGTTATAGTTTGAAATTAAATATCTGATTTAAATACTCATCGGGAAAAAAAGAAGAGAAAAGACTAGAGACCTGATAGATACATCAAAGTTCTGGGAAGCTCATTCTCTGTTAATTTACTTCACTGTGCTCCCTATAGGATCCGGATACATATGAGAGGGACGTATCCGAGAGGGTATAGGATCTGGATACATATGAGAGGGATGTATCCGAGAAGGAGGGGAGAGATGTATCCGAGAGGGATAGAGATGTATCAGCGAGAGGGAAGTGATGTATCCGAGAGGAGATTTCTGATTTTTTTTAAAATAATAGGAAATCTTAGAGATTACGATAAAATAAGATGTCTATTTGAGTAATTTTTCCAATTAAAAAAAAAAGGTAGAGCAGCCCTATCAATCATATGACAAAGATTTTTTTTAAGAAGTGAGAAGACTCCAACTACTAATACGAAGACACAATGATATTTCCATCCCGCCCCTTAAAAATAAGCAAAAAGTTAAATTATCACAGATTTGTCACACTCCTTAAAAATAAGCAAAAACTTACGTCATCAAAAACTTATCATACCTCTTAAAAATAAGCAAAAAATTAGATCATCAAAGTTTGGTAAGCAACTAATATGAGTTGTAAACTTGTAGTGTAGTGCTAAGAGCCTGAGACTATTTAACCATCGGAGATCGAAACTCCATACACAGGTGAAAAAAGGAAAAAAAAAGTTAGGTAAGCAAAGTTAAGTTGGGCATGACCTCAGCATTCAACAATTTGATCAATCCTAATAAAAGTAAAATAAAAAAGTATAATTTACATAAATCTCATTTTGTTAAGAGCTAATTACATTATTTTCCTACATTTTTTCAAATTACAAAAGTCCCTTAAAATTTATGAATTTCAGATACATCACTGCACTTTCGGATACATTAGTAGACATTCGGATACATAGCTGAGGGATGTATCCGAGAGGGTATAGGATCCGGATACATGTGGGAGGGAGGGGAGAGATGTATCAGAGGGAAGTGATGTATCCGAGAGGAGATTTTTGATTTTTTTTTAAAATAATAGAAAATTTTAGAGATTATGATAAAATAAGACGTGTATTTGAGTAATTTTTCCAATTAAAAAAAAAGGTAGAGCACCCCATATGACAAAGATATTTTTTTTAAAAGTGAGAAAACTCCAACTACTAATATGAAGACAAAATGAATTTTCCATCCCACCCCTTAAAAATAAGCAAAAAGATAGATTATCAAAAATACGTCACACTCCTTAAAAATAAGCAAAAACTTACGTCATCAAAAACTCATCACACCCCTTAAAAATAGGCAAAAAATTAGGTCATCAAAGTTAGGTAAACAACTAACATGAGTTGTAGACTTGTAGTGTAGTGTTGAGACTGTTCCACCATCGGAGATCGAAACTCCATACACAGGTGAAAAAAAAAAAGTTAGATAAGCAAAGTTAAGTTGGGCATGACCTCAGCATTCAGCAATTTGATCAATCCTAAAATAAAATAAAAAGTATAATTTACATAAATCTCATATTGTTAGGAGCTAATTACATTATTTCCTTACACTTTTTCAAATTACAAAAGTCCCTTAAAATTTATGAATTTCAAATACATTACTGCACTTCCAGATACATCAGTAGACATCCAAATACATAGCAGAGGGATGTATCCGAGGGGATAGGATCCGGATACATAGAAGAGGGATGTATCCGAGAGGGATATAGATGTATCAGCGAGAGGGAAGTGATGTATCCGAGAGAGAATTTTTGAATTTTCTTTAAATGATAGGAAATTTTAAGAGATTATGATAAAATAAGATGTGTATTTGGGTAATTTTTCTAAATTTAAAAAATAAAATAAAAAAATGGTAGAGCAGCCCAATCAATCATATGTCAAAGATATTTTTTTTTAAAAAGTGAGAAGACTCCAACTACTAATACGAATAGAATACGTAGGATTTCCACCAATCTGTGTAATTTTTTAACCATTTCCATAGTGCCTAGTGGTGGCTTGTTATTATCCAAATAGTTCAAAACTTTTGTTTGCATTCAGTTTCAACTCCAATTCAAAAGCACAAAACAATTCAATGGAGAATGGCAGCGAGTCTAAGCCGTCAGTGATGGTCACAAATGACGACGGAATTGATGCTCCCGGCTTGAGATCTCTTGTTCGCGTTCTTGTCTCCTCTAATCTCTTCAATGTCCTCGTTTGTGCTCCCGATTCGTATGGTTTCTATCTCTCTCAATCTACACTAATTTAGCTTCTATTTTACTGAATTTTACGTACCTCTTACGATTGCTGTACTGGTCTATTTTGAAATTGCTAATTTTTTTGTTGTTTTTCTTTCCCTTCTTCCTTGTGTCCCTGATAATTTGATTCCATGGCAAAAACTTTTACGATGTTAACAACTTGAATTTTTGTTATAGCAAAATAAAGACCTTTTCAATTCTTACCTGCAATTTTTCTTGCACTCACACTCGCTCTTATGTTTGTTGCTCGCTCCTTCTTGGCTGCAACTAAAATGATCACCTCTACTTATAGGTCTAGTGGAGGATGTTTATTACTATGCTCTAGAATGTTCCTTTTAGAATATTTTCCTAGACTTTTTTCTCTATAACACTTATGCTACAGATCTTCCTTAATTTCTTTTACACCGATTCCTATGTCTAGTAATTTAAATTGTATTTTTGTGAATTTGTACGTAAGACCAGCTGCCTCTTACTCTTGTTGTATTGAAATTGGTGGTCCACTTGTGGAAATTCATTAATAATTGCAATCATTATGATCATCAACAAAAATGTTGAAACCGTTAATTTTATTGGATATTCTCTACCACAACTCTTGATATGAAGTCATAGTTATAGTTTGAAATTAAATACTCATCGGGAAAAAAAGAAGAGAAAAGACTAGAGACCTGATAGATACATCAAAGTTCTGGGAAGCTCATTCTCTGTTAATTTACTTCACTGTGCTCCCTTTGTTCTCTAGCCGAGGGTCTAGCGGAAACAACCTCTCTACCCCACAAAGGTAGGGGATAAGGTCTGTGTACATATCACCCTTCCCAAACCCCACTTGTGGGATTATACTGGGTATGTTGTTGTTGTGCTCCCTTTGTTCTCTCTGGTTATTGGTTGACGTCTAAGACTAATTTTTCTTGTTCCTATAAACCTCTATATGGATCCATAATGATATTTTTGACATTCTTATTTCTGTTTGCCCAGTGAAAAATCAGCTGTTAGCCATTGTGTCTCATGGCAACACCCTCTTTCCGTCAAGAAGGTGGACATCAGTGGAGCAACAGCCTTTGCTGTTTCTGGTTAGTCAGGGTTGTAAATAAGCTAATAAGTTTCATAGTTCGTTTGAATCTTGAATATAGTAGACAACTTTAGTTTTTTCCAGGCTCATGGTTCATGTTTTTAGAATTAGCTTAGTTAAAGTTTTATCTCCTGTATTCTGGTCTTTGTTGAACGGTGACTATTAAAGGGCTGTTTGATGGGTTATCGCAATGCTTTAAAATCATAGATCATTTCGTACATTTTTGTTGTGAACTTGAATCAACCATTGGGTAGAAAGATCTGGTATTCATGATTCACTTTCCTTTAATGCCATACTATATTAACATGTTGTCATCCGCAAATGTATATGAGATTACTTTTGATTTACCAAGATTCTGAATTTTTTGTTCAGTTAATGCTGTTATTAGTTCAAACCCCACTTCCAGGTGGGAGTCGTACAATTCTCTTGCTTTACTCTACCAAAAGGATAAAAAAGTGCAAGCAACAGTTTTGTACTGATCTTAAACTTACTGGACGAAACATGGGGGATTGACATCTTTTCTTTCGTATGGTGTTGGGGAAGGAAATTGACATCTTTCTACTTTTTGTTGTTCTCTTCTTTTTTTTTTTCCTTCATATCTTTCTACTTCGAAATATAACTGCTGATTATTCAGAATGATACTGCTTGCTCAGCATAACGTTTTTGGGGATACTCTCATAACTTGTTGTCATAACTCTCTGTCCCTCGTACTCGTTTTGTTTTCCTTTTGGCAGGAACCCCAGCAGACTGCACTTCCATCGGGCTCTCCAAAGTGCTCTTCCCCTTTGTACCTGATCTGGTAGCGTTTGATACTAATACTTGACAAATTATTCTGCCTCCCTATGATGTAGTCATATAGCACTTAGCTTCATTCGTCACATATATGTTCGTCGGAAATTTCTATTTTAACAGAGAAAGTTCATTTAGCTTAATATTACATTAAAGGTTACACAGTAAAAACAAAAGTTAAATTCATTTAGTTCTTTTTTCCTTCTTCCTTGTAACGCAACTGATTTGCTTTTGTTGGGTTCGCAAGGTTGAAGGATTTTAACTTTTAATTGCTTTGAATCTTTCCATACTACTTGGCTTCAACACTTGTTGCTCAAACTATCTGTCAATACGTGCAGTGTGTGTAGTAAATCAAGAAAATATTTTGTTTCAGAAACAAACGGGCTACTGAAACTTCTTTTCCTCTTTTACTATCCTAATTTCTCAAAAAGATGAACAAGTTTTACTGGTTTCAGCTAAACAAGAGGAAATATTATTTTTCCCTGCCATTTATGGTTTCACTAGTGAATTTTACTTTGAGATAAAAATAAATGAATGCAAAAATACTATTGTAACAGGGGTAAACCATAAAAAGATTGAAGAAAACTTCCGAACATACACAGTGATGTATCTAATATGTGTGATCTAGCTCCCTACTGGGATGATACTCCTTCAATAAATCAGGAGCAAAGGTCCAGCCAAAGAAACAATGGGAGAACAGAATTTTTGTATATCATTTGGTCCTCTTTAGCTATGTAGATATGTTTCTGATACTTGTGATAACTAGCTAACAATTAATTTACCGATAGGATTTTCTATTGGACCTATTTCTGATACTTAATGCTGCACCATGCTATAGATGTTTAAGTAGTTTGCATTGGAACTTTTCCTACAGGCTACATGTGTACTAAAACCTAATATGTATCATCGCATTACACTATGTGTACTCATGTCAATTTATGCTTGTAGGTTGTCAGTGGTATTAATAAGGGTAGCAATTGCGGTTATCACATGTACGTAAAACTTCTGTATCTAGCCTTTAGATCCTTCTACATGAAGTTGTCAATAATTACCTCTTGTTCCGATTTGCAATAATTCTTAATTTAGCTATTAGTACTAATTTTATAACATCTCAGCAGACTTGCCTTTTTGTATTATAGTAAAACGAGGGGCTGCTTAATGTTAATGGATCCATTTTGGTGATGCAGTGTTTACTCAGGGACAGTGGCTGGTGCACGAGAGGCTTTCTTCAATGGTGTTCCTTCTGTCTCATTGTCATATGAATGGTATAGTACATCACATTATCCTGTCTTGGGGTTAGCACAAAGACAAGTTACTTTGTAATTCTTCCTTCTTCAATGTGATTTGTCAACTTCAGGGTTGCTGGAAAAAGCAAGGATGATGATTTCGTATTGGCCGCTGAAGCTTGCATGCCAATCATTACAGCTATATCGACTGAGATCAAGAATAATACTTATCCTCAAAATTGCTTTCTTAACATAGATGTACCAGCCGATGTTGCCAATTGCAAGGTAAACCAGCTTTTGTACCATTGCCATAAACATAGACGTTGGAAAGAAGAAATAGGAGATTATTTCAAAATAGTGAAAGGATTATAGAGGATCTTTTGATTTACCTTATAAATAAAAGATCTTTTTGATTTACCTTATAGAAATATAAAGATGATTGGAGATATTTGTCGTCATTCCACATGTTTGGCTCATGAAAAAAAAAAAACCTGATGTGAGAGGGCGTGTTGGGACATAATATAATTGAGTGTACTCCCTCTAACAACTTAAGCTTTTAGGTGAGATGGACGCACAGAGTTCAACAGTTGCCAAAATAGATATGCTATTGACTTCAAAAAGACATTGATTGTTATATTGATAGGGTTATCGTCTGACGAAGCAAGGCAAGACTATTTTCAAAATGGGTTGGAGGCAAGTTGTTTCAGAAGCACAAGGAGGAAGAATGTTATCCACAATGACAATGGATTCATCAGCTAGTAAAGAGGCATCTGTGGAAGAGAGCACCTTAAGCACAGAACAAGAACACCTAATATTTAAGAGAGAAGTAATTATCTCTTTTTCTTTATAGTACTTATTTGCTAAATTTTCGATTATGCTATCACACAAATGCATTTCATCCCTTGCTCTAATCAATGCCTTTTCAAATCATTTGTCCTGCTCATGCTACAGAATACCCTTTTCTGGTCTCACTCACAATATTGGACATCTTACCTTTCATGCTATTTTTCAGCATATTCTCTATGTTAAGTTCTTTTTCCAATCAGCTTGTTTTCAGAGGGGAGAGAGGTGAGAGGATTGAAGCATTTTCTTCTAGGTTTTCTTCCTTGAATCAGTGCACTGTAGATTATAGGTGCCTTTTATCTGTCTCTCTCTGAACAAGAGGTCTAGAAGAAAAAGTCATTTGATGAACAGAATGGGTTGCTAATATACCTAATACATTTGTATAAGGAAAGTTTAGTCTTGATATTTGTATGTTTGAGGAACTTTTTGATGTAAATAGTCATAGGTTCCCGTATTTCATTTAATTTCCGTTCAGTTTTACTTCCCGTTCCACTGAGATGGCTGTCTGAGGGAGTTCTCTGTTGTTTATTCTTCTTTTGCAATAACAATTGCAACGGTGCCTATTTGCACAAGTGAAAAGACAATTACATTAGTATAAATTTATAGCCATTAAAAAGCAAGTTATCTACTCAAGGTCTTACAGTTTGAATATTATGGATTCAACTCCTTTTCTGATTAATCTAAATTGCCTCATTGTAATTGTCTTTGTACTTTTTTTTTTTGGTAAATGTCTACCTACAGTTACTAAAATTTATTATGCTATCTTTCCCAGGTTAGGGGATCACAAATGGATGAAGGTGATAATGATTACTCTTTCCTTCGACAAGGATATGTATGTACAATTCATTTACCTGATGGAAGTTATTTGATGACTCTCGTTAATGACTCATCATTAACATGTTATTACCCTTAATTACAGATAACTGTTACACCCCTTGGCGCCTTATCTCCTCCACCGATGGATGGAGTTGAATTCTTCGAAGGATGGCTGCCTGGTGTGCACTAGCGTGTCTCTTCCTCTGCTTAATAGTGCTGTAAGTTTCTCCATTTGCATAAAACCTATAGATGTACCATTATTGAGGTTCCTTTTCTTAATGTGCTCCTGTTTGAAGCTTAAATATAACGTATATCATTCATATCATTTTGCTCTATTGACTTAAAAGTCCTACATATGAGTATGATATCCATGGAGCCTGAATGACTGAAATATTTCTTGCGTGTTTTTGGAGTCATTTCTTTTCCTCATTTGTAGATCAAGATTTTCATGTTCCGTCAGCATCACTGGTTAAAGTATCCAACTAGAAGAGATCTCCTTCCTTTTACTCGGCTCCATCTTCCTGATAATTTTGTTGTTTGTTTCAGCGGAGGATGCTGCTATAACAAGGTACTTGCAGCTGATCAGTCCATACATTACATAAGTCCTGCAAATGCTTTTCATTCTTATCTCTATCATCCTTCCACAGTTCAATGATTGTTCTTGTACTCCAAATTTATGTGACCATAATGAACTAGTTGTAATTAAGTAATTTCTTTTCTTAGATGGCATTGCTAGTGTAACTGCACTCCCAGATCAAGAAAAGCTGCTTCTTATAATAGCTTCTGCTTTGTTCCTAATACTTATTTGGTTGCTTTTATTTTGGTTTAGTTTTAATATAATTGTTGGTCTCTTGTTCCTTAAAGCTTTATCTGACTATATGTAGACTGAACTAACACAACCAACCCCAAAAATATAAGAAAATCTGTAGACAGTAATATCAGCTATAGTTTGCTTACAAATTAATAATTGAATGACGTTAATCTCATAATAATTCTGTACTGTTTTTTCATTATTTAAGAGTCGTTGTATCAACAAATCTTATAAGGGCTTCTCCGACGAGAACTTTGTGTTTGTTAAAGCTGTTTTGAAGGTAATGTAATTGTAAACATGATAGAATATTTTGAGTTTGTCACGATCCAAAACTGGAGGGTTTGTGATTGGCACCCCAAAACTACAAGCTTGGCATTTGCTAAAGATAAAGATAATTGAGTTTCAGCAAAATACGTACCATGGAATTAAGCAACTCATAAGGAAAAGAGGCCCGGAGGCTTCAACATATCAAAATAAGCTTCATCAAGAGTGCATCATATATTATCTAGGGGTGTCAAATGTACGAGTTGGGCTGAAAGTAGAGAGATTAAAATGAAAAACTGAATCATGATCCGTCCAAATTTATTTTGGGGTAAATTGACCTAAAAAGTGGGTTGGGTCATAACCCGCCAATTTGACTTGTTTAATCTGAACATTATTGACAAATTGATGTAAATTGTAATTCATAAAAGGAAAAGAGATCAAACAAGGCACTAGTAATGTCTTGTAATACACAAAACTAATGCATGCATTATTTTTTCTAATGCACTCTACCAAATGATCGCGAACAATGTTGTGACCTGTAGACATTATTGAATGATATTCATTTTACCCTTCTTTCTCTCCTTTCTCTTTATCTCTCTTCAGAGCTCTTTAATGAGATCATCCATGGAACTCTAAATCATTTCAATTTTAAAATTAAGTTTCACTACAGTTAAGTGAAGTATTAAAAAGAGTAATCATTCACCCAAAAAAACTCAGCCTCATTGGATTATACCCTAATCTGTGGAAGCTAAAGTTCGAAGCGCAATGGACAAGTATGATTTTAATCCTCATTCCATCAATTAATCGTCGATTAAATGACAAAAAATAGAGTAAATTTAGCTAATCCTACTTTGGAAAAATAACATATCCGGTGAAACTCCACAAGTTAGGTAGGTTTGGAGAGGATGATTTTAATCCTCATGATTCCATCAACTACTTGTCAATAAAATGACAAAAAAGAGTAAATTTAGCTAATCCTACTTTGAAACAACATACCCATTGAAGTTCCAGAAGTTAGATATATTTGGGGAGGGTGGTGTGTGCGTATCCTTATTTCTATCTTATGATGGTAGAAATAGTGTCTTGATAGATTTTCAAATCAAGTAAAGCATAATAAAACAAATACTTCCTACATTCATCTTTACTTGTTCAGTGTACTAAAAAATAGTTGTTTAACTTTACTTGTCAGTTCTTATAAGTTACAAGTTGATATAATAAAATTATTCTTCTATTTATTATTTCTCAGAGTCAAATATGAACAAGTAATGAGCGGAGGAGTAATTAAAAAAGAGACATGGAATCAATAGGAGATAAAATTTAATAGGATCCATGCTGTATTTGTAGTGTCAAATAAAAGTTACATTCAAAGGATGCACTACATAATCACAAAAATCATTAACAATTACAATATCATAAAAAGTGCACAAAATACAACACCTTAAATATCATACACTTGTTTCCCAGTAAACTTGACTTCAATAGCACTCTTGTTCTTTCCAATGGATCTAAAGTTCTGACCAACTCCTTCACGCCCTGGGTTCACCTTTTCAGGGTACACACCATCTTTGGGATGCAAATATTGTACCTCACCATTGGGGAACACCCTGTAAAATTGGTAGTTAATCTTGTATTTGGATCTCAACCTTGTACCAAGAGCTAAGCACTGTTCTTTCCTGGCCAATTTCAACAAATTGGGTCCTTCTCTCATTATAGCTGCACCACCTGTTGGCATCTCGAAGATCTGTTCCTTTGGTGATTCCCATGTGATGACGTAGAATTCTTCTACTTGGGCTTTGCGAAGAAGCCCACCAGTGCTGCCACCGAAGATTGGGGAAGGTGTGTTTGGGTCCAATTGAGGTGGGGTGAATCCTGCTGGAGCGGGTTTCTCTTCGGTGGCAGCTGGGGCTTCTTCGGCCATGGCCCGGATGGGTCGGGTTACTGAGACGGTAGATTTGAGTTGCTTAGGAGTAGAGAAGGATAGGAGGGATTGTTTCCATGGAGCGGTGGATTTGGGGACGGAGAGAGCAGGGGTGAATAGGGAAGCTTGAGTTGCCATGGCCATTATTGAGGAATTGGGGGAAAATGGAGCAAGTATTTGTGCAGATTGAAGTGTGGGTGAGAAGAGAATTCATATTTGTTGTTCACATATATGTGGTGGAGATAAGGATATTGGATAAGGGGTATTCAGATGCAGACCAATTAGAAGGTCTGATTTTGATACGCATTCAGTAAAGGGCTACCAAGTCCTCACCCTTTGTTTTCTTTTGCCATGTGTTGTATGGTCCTTGGTTAGTGTTTGAGTATAATATCTTTAGTAGGCGTTTGACCATGCGATATCATATCACGATATGAAATTGTGAGATAAAATCAATGTTTGGATATGCGATTTCATCTCATGATTTCATAATTCATATCATGAGATGAAATATCATATTCTCCAAAAATCATGATTTGGAATTTTTTAAAGGGAAAAAGGACAAATATATCTTCGAACTATTGTAAATGGTATGTAGCTATCCTCTGTTATACTTTTGAGATATTGATGCCCCTGCCGTCCAAAAACTAGAGCATATATACCCTCTACACTAACGGAGTTACACGTGTCATAATCTTATCCACCGACCCAACATCGGATCGATGGATAAGATTGTGTCACGTGTCCCTATTTAGTCTTCCGTTAGAGTGAAGGGCATATATGCTCTAGTTTTTGGACGGCAGGGGCACCAATGTCCCAAAAGTATGTGGAGGGTATCTGCATACCATTTACGATTGTTCGGGGGTATATTTGTCCTTTTTCCCTTTTTTAAATACAAAAGTTGATACATAAGTTTATATTTTGTTAAAACAAAACACATTTATATCTACTAACCATTTATTTTATGTGTAAGTAAAATTAATAATCACATCTTTACTTTTTAAAATTTATTATTCTCACAAACATGAAATTTATTATTGCTTTAAATTTGGTGAATATAAATGATAAAGTAGGAATTGATTTGGTGAATATAAATAAGAACGGAGGGAAGAATACTTTTTTGGTTTTTCATAATAAAAAAAACTTCTCTTTCGGCTACGTATGAAAATATTTAAAGCAATTTAATATGAAAAATGACAAAATTGGTGATGTATGTTTGATAATCCCTACTTCCAATATGTTTGATTTTAGCACAAAATTAATGCACTGAAAATGTTTAATTGCACACAAGTGAAACAAGGCAGGAACCATATGATATAGACACACAAGTGAAAATTGTCATAACTTTTACAATGTTACATATATAATTATTTGCGAGAATACCAAATGAGTGATGAAATATTTATGGTCTATGAGCATAAAAATATAGTTGTGAATGACGTTGACCAACAAATGGCTCAAAGTAACAATGTTGATTCGTCTTCTCAGTCATATAATCGAGAAATGCAGGTTCAACGTGAGAAGATTGTATGTAGTATGTGGGTGAACAAATAACTTTGTAATAATTTATTATGCGATTTTATAAATTTTTGTTTATTGGTAAGATTGAAAAAATAATTGGGGCTATTTTAATAGTTTTACAATTTATGAGATTCTTATGTTTATAAGAAAATATACAACACAAAAATTTCATATCGCATGTCCAAACAAAACTTCAACTTCATCTCATTATTTCATATTATGATATCATATACATGACCAAGCAGGCCCTTAGTTAACTAGATTATGTTTGGAAAATACTTCTTCCGTTCACTTTTACTTGTTACTGTTTGACTTGACACACTTATTAAGGAAACAATTATTGATACATTTATTTTACCATACTATCTCTATTAAGTGAGGTTTAGTATTAAGTCTTGAAAAATGATTTGTAAAAAAGAGTATTTACTATTGAGAGTAAAACATGAAAAAATATAATTATCTTTTTTTATACGCCAAAAGTGATAAGTAAACATATATTTTTAGGAATAAGTGAACGGGGGAATACTCTCTTAGTTTATTTTTAGTTACTCATTTCTTCGGCTAAAAGTAGATGTTTAGTTTTGCTTGTCACTTTTATCATAATAAGAGAAAAATATACTTGCTCCTTTTTAATTTATGTGAAGTAATTTGATTTGACACGAAATTTAAGATATAATTATTATTTTTTAAAAACTTGTGGTCTAAAATATGTCGTACATATTTGTGTGACTATAGATAATTTCATTATGGATAAAATAGAGATTTTAAAATTCACTATTACAAAATATAAAAATGTATCATTCTTTTTTGGATTGACTAAAAAAAATGAGTCGTGAAAATTGGGATAGAAGAAATATTTTTTTTCATATATTACCCATAATATTAGTTTCTTTTTTTCCTAATCATTTTTCAAGACTTAATATACATTAATTAATATGAGTATTTTAGTATATCACTCATATTAGTCATTATTTGGTAATAGTAAAAGTGAATGAAAGGAGTAAAGCATAGAAGTGGATCGTTAGTAAAATTGATGAAGTTAAACGAGATTCATGGCAAAAATCGCAGCGATCTTGTATAACTCGAATAAATCAGTTATCAAATATTATCAATGAATGTCAAATAATTTATTAATCTTTAAGTCTTAACATACAACAACATACCGGATGTTGATCTTTGTTCATTTACTAATCTACTAATCCCAAAATAATTAATGTTAAAAGGACAAAGTTGAAAAATAATTAATTTTTTTTAATTTTTAAAAGTTGACGAGTATTTAAGAATAACTATTTTTAGTATATGTGAAAATTAAACGGGAGCGGATGGATATTATACAAAATTTAATAAATAAAAAATAGATCAAAATTTATCTTGAAAAGAATAATATTTACAAAATTAGTTTACAAAAAAGATATTATGAATGGATAAATTAGTTTTTCTACAAATAATAATTAGGTTAAAAGAATTGTTATAGATAAATTAAAAAAGAAGTAAGTTATTCTTTGACTTTTTGGCTATAATGAATTTGTTGGAGAAAACAAACTTATCGATACAAAATTCATAATTGTACCAAACAATTTGTTATAGTTGAGTGACCAAAATGTTAATTTGCAACACTTATATTTATTTATTGCAACCATAAACAATGAACAAGGAAAGAAGGGGAAAGACACATTGCAATTATTGAATAATGAAATTTTATAGCATTTGCAACAAAATTTTGGAAACAAAATACTTGGAATTATTATAAAAGGAAAAGAAATTTACAACTGATAGTGGGATAGGTATTGTAGGCAATAATTGCCATAAACTTAAGCGCTAGATCACAAACCAAAGACTTCAAAACCAATTTAAAACATAGGAGGGTAGGGTGGAGGTAATTATTTGTACATCATATAACATATTAATTATATTATATTGTAGACCTTGAAAAATGTATTATTATCAAGTTAAACACCCTTTTGGCTTATTCATTCTTGAAGCATCTCTTCCATACTGGATGGCTCTTCCACACATCAACCATTCCATCAATGGGAACTCCCTTGGTCTCTGGCACTAGGAAGACGACGAATAGTCCCATAACAACGATCCAGCCAGAGAAGAAGAAGAAGATATTTGCTTGCATTTTGCAAAGCATTGTCAAGAATGCCTGAGCAATGATTGAAGTGAAAAGCATGTTTGTGCTGACTGCAAAGGCGAAACCGGCTGTCCTTGTTTCCATTGGGAATGTTTCACTTGGAATCAACCATCCTAGAGGTCCCCATGACCAGGCAAATGACATAACATATGTGCACACAAGGATCACCACAATTGTTGCTAGTGTCCTGTCTAATGTTCCTGTTTCCTTCAAACTGAAGGATAAGATAATTCCAATTGCCAATTGAGAGATCAACATTTGGCAACAAGCTTGGAGGAGCAATTTTCTCCTTCCAACCTTGTCAACGGCGTAGATTGAAACAAATGTGGACCCAACATTAACAAGTCCAGTAATGACAGCGGACAAAAGTGCACCATCAGACTTGAATCCCATGGTTTGGAACAGGACAGGTGCGTAGAACATAATGGCGTTAATTCCAGTGAATTGTTGGAAAATCTGCAAAAATACAGCAATCACAAGTGGTGGGACACTGGCAGACTTCATGAGGTTCCTGAATGGATGTTTCACAGCCTTGGCTTGTTCACAAGCAGCAACTATTTCCTTAAATTCAACTTCAACATCATCAACTCCCCTGACTTTCTTTAGTGCAGCTTTGCCCTGTTCGTCTTTGCCACGTTCGATTAAACTGGCAGGAGTGTCAGTGATAACGAAGCAACCGACGAGCAGCATTAAAGCTGGAACGGCTGCCAGCCCAAGTGACACCCTCCAGCCGTTGGGGTGCATGTTGGATGTTGCATAATTCACAAGATTTGCTATGAATATTCCTATTGTTACGAAAAGTTGGAACATAATATTCACAGCTCCTCTGAGTTGGATTGGTGCTACTTCTGTCAAAAACAGAGGAACAGTCTGCCACAAACCAAATTAATAAAACAATCAAAATCATATCTCATAGATATTTGAAATCAAAATTAGATCTAAAATGAATACCTCATTTCCAAAACCAACACCAACACCGAACAAAATTCTACCAACAATGAGCATCCATCTGTGTTCTGAGGCAGCACTTATAACAGCCCCAGCAATGAAGAACAGAGAAGCCATGAAAATGGTAGGCCTACGGCCTAAAGCTGAACAGGCCTTGGATGCAAAGAAACTAGAAACCAAAGCTGATAGGTACAATGATGAGGTAAATAGCTGAAGAAGTTGATCATCGTATTTACAATAGTTGTTCTCTTTAGCATGAAGCTTCCTTTCGTAAACATTTGGGAAAAATTTGATCAAGAAATCATCCATACCAGACACTCCACCTGATTCATTCAAAAATCAACTCAAAATCCGAAATCCCTAACCTTAATAAAAATTAAAAGAAAACGAATACATACCTGAAATACCAATATCATAGCCAAACATAAGCCCTCCAAAGGCAGCAAAGATCCAGCATGATACCACATAGACTGTGATCTTAGAGTTATTTGCTTGAATTGTCGACATTTTTGCTTCTTTTTTTTATTTTGTTTTTGTATTAATAAAAATTACCCTCCAAGATAAAAACTGATTTATTAACGTAGATGGATTATTGTCTCTATTTTTTGTTTTTGTTTATTTTAATAGAGATAAACCAGCATATACTTTACATATATAGGGAGAGGAGAGACAAAGAGCTGTGTATTTATCTTTGCCTCGGACTCTCCAGTTAATATTTATTCGCTGGAATGATGATTTTAATCTACAAAGTTAATCCCTTTTTATACTATCTAATTTCTGTTACTTCTTCCCAATAAAATAGATCTACCACTAATCTATTCAAAATTATAACTGGTTTTATCTGATTTTGAGGAAATTAATTTGTTGAAAACGACCTTAATACATGGTGGATAATGAAATTATTGTGTTTTACTTGGTCTATATTGTCAACAATTATTAAAGGCCACTCATTAATTAAAGGGACGATATTCATGCATTTACACTCAAAAAATTTAAGGATTTGTATATCTATTCTAGTGAGGGAAAAAAAAAGGAGTAATGAAATCTTATCCATATTTTAGAAACTTTATATGAGAGGATTCTTGTGAAAATATAGGATGATATTTATTAATTGGACAGCTAAGATATATATATCAAGTAAAAAAAAAAAAGACAGATAAAAGCTGTAATTTCTATATAATAATAAATAATATTCTATATGTCACATATTTCGTTTTTCGAGAGTTAAGCTGTTTAAGTTTGATCGAAAATTTATTCATGAAATCTTTAATTTTTTTGAAATAAAATTTATATATTTGTAAACTACATAAAAAGTATTATAAGTCACAATAATTGACAATCCAAAATATTTAAAAGATATATGAAAAATTTACGGTCAAAGATAGACTTGTTTGAATTTCGAGAAATGTGTCACATAAATTAAAACGGAGAGAATAAATTTGGTTTTTAGTTTGTTTACTTTTTTAAAAAAAATAAAATTTGGAAATTGTTTTTTTTTTTTTTTTGGTAGTTAAAGTGAAGATCCACATTTTTTGACTATTTTATATAATAGTTTTAAAATGATTCTTAAATTTAAATGTGAGCCCAAAAAGTTTTCAGTTAGCGTTTTTTACTTTAAATAATTTTAAAATATATTTATCCTTAAATTCTCTTTCTATAAAAGTCGATCAATAATGGATAAGGTAGGCTTTATCTGATTATGTTGTTAGCTGTTGACCAATTATTTCGTACTTACAAAAGTGAATAGTTACTTTTAATCTCAAAAGAAGACAATATTTTTAGGAAAAATTACTTATATACATACATTTACTTACCTTAATATCCATTTATCCCTACCTTTTTTAAAAATTTCAAAAATCCCTTATTCCCCCAATTCATAAAATTTTTCGGATACATAAATATTTCACTCCTACTTTCAGCCTACATCCACGTTTTCCACTCCCCATTTCACTCCTTCATTTTATCCCTAAATTCTCTCCACTTCTTTAGCAGTTACAAATTTCAAATTCATTTTGATTTTCAGAAAGTGTCTCTCTCAAGTTTATCAATTAATCTATTTTTGAATTTCAAATCTTTTCTGTTTTCAATTAATGATTTCAAATTATTCAAGAGGTAGATTTTTTTCCATCACATCAATTTTTGATTTCTTTTATTATTATTTTTTAATTTTTTCATCTTAAAAAATAAAAATAAAATTACCTCAACCCCCTGCCCTCATTGAAATCTTATTGAACCTTTGCAATTTTAGTTAATCATATTGTTGTGAAAATTTTTCTTGAAAAATATTTATTTTCTTTTAATGTTTCTACTATTGAAAAACATCCAAAAAAAAGAAGAAGAAAAAAGTTGGATCTGCCAAAGCACGGCCATCACTATCAAAGATACAAATTTTTAATGTATCTTGTTTATTTTGAGTCTTAAATTAATCTTTATTAGTGTTATCATTGATCTGATACATCACTGCTACAATAACCTTTGTTTTATGCAGTGTATAACGTTCAGATTTAAGGTATTGATACATAACTCTAATGTTGTTGAATTTTTTATTAGTGTTAATCATGTTCAATATAAATGTACTTGATACATAAACTTTGTGTTATTTATCACAAACACAAAAAAAAAGCTATTTTGGAACAATTACATGTAGAATGTTTTTTTTTTAATTTTAAAATATAGTATTTCTCAAACAAAATAAGATACATAAATAATAATGTATCATACACTAATTTTTTAGTTATAATACGTAAATTCAAATTTATACTAAATGTATCTGATACATAACAATTACCAACAATAATGTATCGATCTCAAACTTAAAATCTTATGGGCAACACTTTCTTATTTAATGTATCTAGTAGAAATACAACACTTATCAATTTAAATTGAAAGGATCTTCATGATCTCAAACAAAATAAGATACATAAATAATAATGTATCATGCACTAATTTTTTAGTTATGATACGTAAATTCGAATTTATACTAAATGTATCTGATACATAACAATTACCAAATAATAATGTATCGATCTCAAACCTAAAATCTTATGGGCAACACTTTCTTATTTAATGTATCTAGTAGAAATACAACACTTATCAATTTAAATTGAAAGAATCTTCATGATGTATCTTCTCAAAATTTTCGATAATTTTGAATTAAAATTGAAAGAATCTTCAATGAACTAGGAGAATAATTTTGAAACTCAAAATTTTCAACAATTTTGAATCCAAACGGAAAGGATCTTCAATGAACTGAAGAAGAATTTTGAATCTCAAAATTTTCGACAATCTTGAATCAAAATCGAAAGGATATTCTTTTTTTAAAAATAAATTACCCAGTCTTATCTCTAGGCAGTGTTGTATTAAGCAAAAAGATACAGAGGGGGGCTGGGCCTGACCTCAAATACAACACATTTTGTGGTGATCACATCACCATTGATAAGCCAGAAGAGGCTAAAAATAGCCAAGCTTCTGGCAAAATTACCACCTAGCTAACAAAAAGTTGGCCTTGTCAAATTTGGATCGAATACAAGGCATTTGTCACTTATCAAGTTGAAAGGGGCCTTTAGAGGTTCTGTGCAAATCAAAATAGGAATATACAACTTGATTTTGGTCGGTGGTCGAGGCTAGTTTGGCCAAACTATCAGCTACTTGATTGCACTCCCGATAGCAGTGCTTCACTTCAAAGTTTGTCGCATTCTTGATCTTTAGCATCTTATCGATGATGTTCATCGAAAGGATAGTCGATAAACTTGAAGATTCACAAAAGAAATCGTTTGTCCAATAACAAGTTCATCACTTTTGTATCCTTCAAAACTCACCTCGCTTATCCAAAATTTCGACAAAAGTTTTTATGAAACAAAGAGAACGATGAACAAGAAGAATAAATTTAATTTTTGAATTTTTGGATTTGTTACACTATAGGATTTTGAATTCTTGACAATAATTTGGAATGGAATAACGTAATTTATGGAATCTTAATTTGATTTTTAGCTTTTTTCCCCCCTTAATTAGTGCAACAAATGAATACTATGAGATCTAAATTTGATTTTTCAACTTTTTTTTTCCTTAATAAGTGCAATAGATTTGATACATAATGTATCCGGATCCTTAATTATGTATCCGAAATGCTTAAAAAATATGGGATTTATGCAATTACAAAAATAATAGGGATAAAAGGTAATTTAGGTTTTACACTATGGTATTTATGTAAGTTATACATATTTTTATCTGTTTTAAGTGTTATTTTAATAAAAGAAAATATTAAAATAAATATTACCTTAAAAGTTCAAAACAAAAGTTAGTATACTTTTCTAACTATATTCTTGTATTCAAACTTTTTAATAGTGTTCAATTTTAAAGAGACATCTATTAAATAAGAATAATTCAATAAGCTATTCATCATATTTATTGATTTTTTACTGAACTAAATATTTGCTAGGTGACAATTATTTTGAGACGAGGGAGTACTTCCTTGGTTCAAATTACTTGCCATGATTTTATTAAAATTATTTAGTCCAAAATTTTATCATTTTATTAGAAATATAATTAATTATCTTTTTCTATTTTTATTCTTATTTTAATATTAAATTTTGAGAGAGTATTATAATGAGAAAATATCTATTAAATTAATTACGATCAAAATAAATACATACCATAGTTTGTAAACATGACAATTACAAGTAAAGTGTAGGAGTCGATGAAATCCTTTCGGAGTTTTTCATGATATTTGAGTAAGTATATTAAATTTGTAATTAGTTAAAATGTGTATTTTTTAAAATTTCTTTTGTTTGTGAATATTTATAAATTTATCATATTTATCAATTGTTCCACTATTTAATACAATATAATTATTTATGTGTTATATTAAGTTTATGGTATTAATACTCTGCGTTTTATGATAATATAGCTTATATAGAAATAATCCAAAGTCAGTTAACACACTTCCTATATTATAGGATTAAAATCGATATTTTAAATTAATTAAAAGTCAAAATATTTGATCGAATATTACAAGGATCAGAAATCATAACATAATGCAGCAATAATCGAGGGAGCAAAAGTGAAATTATTCTTTACTATGTTAAAGTGAAATTATTCTTTACTATGTTACATAATTTATCACCAACTACTGTAATGCACCAACTATTATTTACAATTGAGGCAACCAAATTAAGACCCAATTGAAGGTGCACTTTGGAAGTTTATGCTATGGCCATGCACATTAGCGGACATTGACAAATGACAATACATTAAAATTTTGAGAGCGGTGAAAATACCGACAGAACTAGAAATTTGTTAATTTAAATATAAAAAAGAGAAAAGTGTTCAAAAATGTCCTTAGCGTATTAGAAATCATTAAAAAATGCCTTCATTTGACCTATTGGGTCAAATTTGCCCTTTCTTCCACCTGTTGAGTAAAAAATGTGTATATTAGAAATGATTCAAAAATACTGATTACCGTCCTTCCACCCCTTGGATAAAAAATGCCTTTAATATATTTGAAATAATTCACATTTGTCTTTCCTTCTATCTATTAGACAGAAAATTCTCATAACATATTAGAAATGACTCAAAAATATTTCCTAATTCTAGTTAAACATGTCAATAATTTTTTTAATTGTACTTTCTCAATTATTTAGTGTTCTTTTGATTCGTATTTTATTCTTTTGAAAAATTCTTGCTTGTTTGTCTAAATCTTAACTAATATGAATATTTGCTTTAAATAAAATATATGAACTAACGTGTGAATTAA